GAGTCGTATATCCCTGTCGTGTTCTTTGATCCTCTCCTGCATAGATCTCCCTGTTTCCCCGATGTAGACTATGCCGCACTCACTGGGAATCCTGTAGACAGGATACACACATGGTAGGATAGATCAAGATCCCATCAAAGAACACTGATCAATGGCCTGAAAGCACAGAATAATGTTGTTTTGTTTCAGTTGTAAACAATAACTGCTCAGTTACAAACCTCCAATATGCATTCCTCTGTTTCATAGGCAGACAAACAAAACAAGCTAAACTTGGCTGATTTAAATATGGCTGCATGATGTACAACAATGTCTGTATTGAAATTACCAGTGGGTAATAAATTGACCTTTATCAACTGGAATTTGAAAGCTAACTATACTGTGTAAAACCTGTCTGCTAATGCAGCAGAACAGTTAACTTTGCTTAGGAACTACTTGCCTTACAGCAACTCGAGTCTTTGAAACCATGCTCTAATCAAAAATATTTTTAACCCAAAGTCCCAGAAAAGCAAATGGGATGATGATTTTCTAAGAATTCCAGTGGAAACTATGGAGTACAAGCTGTGCATGTTTTGAGGTATTCCTCTCATTCCAAATGGCATAAACTTTCCAAAACTTCTGTGCCATTTATTCATTTCTGTTATTTCCAGACTCCCATCATGGGTCTGGCCTGGTTCACACTGCGAAATATACCGTAATGACAAAACAACATAACATTTTGCTTATGTCGGTAATGTGAACATAGACGTAAAGACATAAGGAAAATATCATTTTTTCTCTTATGCTGTTACATGTATGTTCATGCTATTATGTTGCTGTTATGACATTACAGTGTATGTCAGGATGTTCACACTGCAAACATCCTTCTTATAGAGTTACGTTTATGTCACCATGACAGGAAAAAAAATTGAAATCCAGTTGCTCAGTGGGCAGGTAATTTTCAGTTTTATTTGCTGATGTGGCTATTTTCACTTGCCCAAGAAAAAAATTTACTTGCCCCGGGCAAAAGGACCGGGTTTTTTCCTGCCCTGTATTTCGCTAGTGTGAACCAGGCTTAAACAATTTCCGCAAACCAAATCTTATTGTTTATCTCTTTGTGCTATTGTTCTGTGAAAGGGTATCAAGCCATTCATGTGAAACCTTGGGAGAGCTGTTATTTGACCCTTGTTGTCAAGCTGACATTTTGAGCATTATCCCTTTGTCAAAGCAATGTGCTAAGTGTAATGTGCTTAAGGATACGAGCAAAGTGACAAATTGCTTTAACACTCAAAAAGTCGAATTCGCAAGGCAGTGTTAATGTTTGAAGTTGATAAATATCTGATATAAATTTTCACTTGACAAGGGCCCAGTATCTTACATGTTCTTGTAGTTATTGTGTCATTTCTAGCTACATATACCTGTACGTAAGTACATACAGCTGTATCTCTACAATATGTAGCAACAGTTCGTGCAATGTATTTTCTGTAGGTAAAGCTTGAATTTCAGAATATTCACACTGGCACGTAAAACTTCTGCTTAGTAAAGAAATGTTCACAATATCAACAAACAG